AAATTTTTCTAGATGATGTATTTTGATGGTCCATTTCTTTTGGAATTAATAATATAATGTAATGATTCAAACTTCTATGTTCATCAATGTATCTGAAAGACGCAGGCAGCTATGCCTCAGTATAACACTAGTACTTTTGGTGACTAGGTATATTTATAATAAAATAATTATTTGTAAACTGAATTACTGTCGCAATAATAAAAAGTACTGAAAAACAGAATAAAATAAGTATTTAAAAGGGCACGCATACGATTCCGGTATGGAACTCTTCCAGCACGAGTCCGACTCGCACTTAACTGGTTTTTCTTTGGTGTTTGGTTCAAACTAAATTTACTTAAAATAAACATGTCTAATGTCTCTCATTTCATTATTAGTTTCGGCTATGTTTAAAAAAAACCTTTTATTTTTTATCACGGTATATCTATATATATATGTGTGTAAATAATATTTTAATATTATATCTTTTTTTAATTTCCATATACTTCAATATTAACATAAATTGACTTTTTAGAAATTCACCCAATAAATATACAAACGAATAGTTAATAAATTTATCATAACAACATTTTGAGGATTCATAAATACTTTATCTCTAGCATTTTGTGTTATCTTTACTTTCTATTTACAAATGACGTCACGCGGGTATTATTTAGCAATTAACGGGACTGATACCTTTCTCTAGACCGCCGCCGCGACCGGGGCGAATAAGGTGAGCGTCGCATCCTTGGTGAATACCGGTTGTCCGGCGAATACCGGACCGTCTCCGGCGAGTACCGGCTCTCCGGTGAATAACGACTTTCCGGCGAGTACCGGCTATCGGGCGAGTAGCGCCGGTCACTATATCTACGAAGACAGAAAGTGATGTCATAAGCTTAGCTTAGCTTAGAATAGGGTTGATGACTGGGTTAAAATAAGAAATTGTATTTATTCCGTCAGTCAGATAACAGAAAAGTTGAGGAGTCGAGGCTCGTTACGTCACAATTTTGTAGAAAACGTATGCGTGACGTCATGTGACATTTTACACACGTGTATCGCCGTAATTTATTGGTTACGCAAAATGCATGTTTAATATTCTTCAATAATCTGCCTGATCTCTTATCTAATCTATATCTATATACTTATATATACTTATTATATATATTCTTATTCTATATATATATATATATATATATATATATATATATACATATATATATACATATATATATCTTACATAATTTATGTCACGGACAAACAAAGATTATCCATCATCCCTATTATCGATAGCTTAATAGAAAATAGGGAAAATTGAAGAAAGCAGAAGAGCCAGGAGCCACAGGTACAAGATAAGTTTACTACGTACATCTAATTATAGAACTCCAAAAATAAATCGCAGTTTGAAACGGTACAGTTTAATTAGTTTGCATTAATTTATCAAGAGAAGTTCTCGCTTTTCTCTCTCTTTAATTTCAGATTATAAATCGCAAGTAAATTTTACAAAAATAAAATATTATCATCGAAATCAGCCCTTTTTACGTCCCCACTACAGGGTCTCAGGCCTTCCTTATGGATGGTTAAGGACGTTGGGGCATGACCCTCCACACTGGCCCAATGCGGATTGGAGGGTATTAACGAATGCAAATGCCTTCCGAAGATTTAGTAGGTCGAGACAATAATTATTTGGTCATCCATCCGGTGACTGACCCTTGCAAAAGTTGCTTAACAACTACGATCGTAGACCACTGCGTTTATCCACTACGCCACCAAGCTACTCTTATAAATAAAATAAACTTTATTATGAAAGAAAAAATACTACATAGTTTTTGTAATAAATAAATAGATATTAGTCAATTTATTATAATAATAGTTAGTAGGCAATTGGTTACTAATGATTTAGATTTTGAATGAACTCTACCTCGGTGGGTGTGGTGAAGGCAGTCTTCCGAGGGGTGGGGGGCGCGGCAGTGGCGGCAACAGTGGGGGAGGCGCGTGCGGCAGTGGCGGCAGTAGCGGCGGCGGCAAAAACGCCATAGGCGGTAGCGGAGGTACCGCGTTATCCATACTGTCCAGCGGCGACGAAACCTCTGTAAACGGAAATGTAGATTTTGTTATCATATTGAGATTATTAATGTCCCCGCTGGGATGTAAACAGGCTGTAAAAACCTTATCTTCCACTTTTCTAACTCATCTTTTGACTTATAAACTTGGTATATCATCGGCGTAAGTATTCCACCCTTATGTTCGATGCACGCCGCATTTCATAGACAAAATCGAAAAAAAAAGAAAGTATTTAGTCTGTGATTCGGTTGAAGTGTCAAATGTCATTGAGTTTGACGTTTGGTTGATTGACGTTTCATGTGGTATTTGGTCTTTGGAAAAACGATATTTTATACGAAATTCGTCGTCATTGAACACAAATGAAATGATCCCTTTCTTTTGTAAAAGGAAGGGATCATTTCATTGGATCTCCCTTCCAAGGGATCATTTCTAGTTCTAAATATTTTAGATTTTCTTCTCGTCCCAAACATTTGCGATCGATTGATCAAATTATTAATTTCTGCCACTTCATGTAGTGATCTAAGGGCCATATTCCAATAACCACACGTTTCAATATTATTAAAAATTATCTAATACTGCAAATATTTGGAAATATCAATAAAGCATCAACAATATCAAAATGTCATTGGACAGATGCGTTTTACTACACCAGAGTTATACTAGGGTGAAGGGCGGAATATCGGTGGAATAAGTTTTGTTAGAACGTTACATCCAGGTTATGCTAAGCATAAGTTATACCGAGTTTATAAGGTATAATATTTTATACCACGTCTATAAGTAGCGTTGCAACTGTTTAAAACGACGTGATGTCATTTTTGGGGTTAACAAAAAGGGATTTTCACTGAAAAAAAAAACGAATTATCGTCTGCAGTACTTATATTTAAACTCGATAATACATCGCATATTGAATGTTTACAGCGCTTTTCCAAGATAGTTTTACTAGCAATTTACCCACAAATGACGCCACGCGCTCTGATTGGAAATTCATTTGACGTGAGACACAGACTACAAATATTTGAAAATTATATTTTTGTATAATAATAATAATAAAATATAATTTAGCAGTTATTTAGCAAAATAAATCGGCGAACAATTTTTAAACTTAATGAACTTTTAAGGACATACAAAATTGTTTTTAATTTAATTGCTGTCTGATGTCCTAAAACTATTCACAATACTTACTGTGATGCGGTGAGACAGCGCCATCTGCAGCTACAGAGGCGAGTTTCCGTCGCAAGGTGGCGGCCTCGTCGCGCGCCGCGTCCGCGTCTCGTTTCGCCGCGCGCGCTTCCAACCACGCCGAGTGCGCGCGCGTCTCCACTTCAGTAATCGCCGTGCGACGTAGCGATTCCTGTTCCGCTAGTTCCAAAGTCAGCGCGTCGCACTTCTCTCTGTTAACAGAATAGGGAATATTGCAAGGGCCGTATTTACTCTACGGCTCTTTACTCACAATAGGTCCGGGTTTAGGGCCAATAATAGCATAAGTAAATATAATATTGACTGTCAAAAGTGAAACCGGGTATTGGTAGATGTATTTTCACTTGTTTAACTAAGACGTTGGATCTTAAATTAAATTAATGTTGAGCTGAGATAAGAATGGGGATAAGACTGCTTATGTTAATTCATATATATCCTGAAGTATTTTCATGAGAAGTAAATAAAAATAATTTAATAGCTTTATTTATTCTATAAGTTAGGCTTGATGGATGTTATTTTTGAAATATGTCATTGGAGTGTGGTTTAAAAATCCAAAGCCAAAAATATCCACAACAACGACAAAATTCAGTGACAAATCACTTTAGTTTTGTGTATTCTTATCTATGGAAAAAGTGCAATTGCAAATGGCGGGAAGTGAATTAGTGGGGGAACGTCAAGCGTGGGATGACATTAAGACTTGTTGCTATCGTTAAGTTTCTCCCCCCGTACCTTTCACCTCTTTCGATACCTATTTTCGTGTACGGTGCAGAGTTTACTGTATGCGCCATATTATTACGGCGGCCATTTTGGTATGATAATAATACGGATTATATGTAATTGCATTGTCTGATGAAAACAATTCTGATGAACTAAAGGTGTATTTCAAATTTTAGTTCAAACTGGGAGGTGAGTGAAATTTAGCTGGCGAAATTTGATTACAGAAAGACAAATATCGGACACGTGAAACTAACTAAAAACTTGTAAAATAACGACTACTCAGATGTTTACCTATTGTGTCAGGCATGTTTATTCTTCACTGATTGTAGCGTCAAACCAAGAATTTATATTATTTCATCACAACATCAACACAATTGTAATCTATTTCAATAACTGTTGTCAAGAAAGTAAATTCAAAAGCAGTGCCTATAAATTATGAGAGCTATAAAGGCAAAAAAGTCTGCAAATCTGATAAATTCAAAAAATATGACACTCCTACTATGCTCGCTAATATTTTATTATTTGCTCACTACTCTATGATGTTTGAAGTCGTACATCCTATCAACAAAACATATTTATCGTAATTATTTACAACAATAGACAACTATATTAGATTATTGCAAAATCTCAAGTTTTTTTATCGATTTTGAACTCTACAAGCCCCAAAAACTACATTTTTGTATAAACCGATGTACTATTGAGTGTATCTTCATTTATGGACATAGAGTTAATCAGTTATGAGACTGGCAAATGGTTGGTTGGTTGGCCTGTAGTTCGCTAGGCTAAGAAATTTACAAAGGATCGGATATACCTTAAAAATTATTTATCTACACTCAAACCGAAAAATTCGAATTACGAATACAAAGACGATTCTATATTTACACACTTTATAAACGCTTATACATAAAATTAAAAATAAAACTCATTATAGTACCGGCGAATGTATCATAAAACACATTATAGTACCACTATTTTATTTTATTCATTAAACTAGTCTATGGTTTTAGGCTGAATATGAAAAAAAAGGCGCACGCATGCGCAGTTCGAACCGTGAAAAAAATGGCGCACGCATAAATTACTTCCTTGTAACCTACCTACTTTGTTTAATTTATGTAGGTACTTTATATTTGATATAATAGATTGAAAAAATATAATATAATGCTTACTTGTATCTCTGAACCTCTTGTTGCATCGATTCAATTTTCTCCACAGTACTGACAGACTCACCTTGTTTACTCAAAAACAAAGACTCCTTTGCAGTGAGTTCTCTAAAAGTTTAAAATATCACAATAAGAATTTTGCTTGTAATTATTGATTAGTTGAAATGAGACTTACATATACTTATCTATATTGTACTCACTTCATAAGTTCAGATTCTCGTTCCTGGAAATATTTTCCGAGGACCTCTAGTCTAGTTAAGGCCTCTGTGGCCTGTTGGCTGGTTGTTTGTAACGATTCTCGAGTAACCTGCAATTCTTCTGTTAATCGTGTGCGTTCTTTGTACTCCACCTAAATATATAAAACTTTAATGATGATCAGTAAGTTTATGTAAAGACACCAGTTTAAAGTAAGATTGTAATACATTTTATATTTCGTCATCTAAGTTCTGACATTTATGTTAGAAATAGCAACTTTTCAGTAGAATGAAAGAACTGCATTTTGAATAGAATACTTCTCTATCTGTATCCAGAATCATTGACTATTATATAAAAAGTTGGCATCATTATTATTATTCTTATTGCTGTTATAAAGTGAAGAAGAGAGAAAATTCAGGTCCTTTTTGACTTAAAAATATAACATACTTCCATGTATACACGGACACTTGTAAAACTACAACAATATTTTACTCTGTTGAAAATAATACTTGTGTTTATTATAATAAAAAAAGCCATTAAAACAAATATTTCGGTAAAATAAAAATGTTTTCTTGCCTTAAAATTAACTCAAAATTTAAACTATTTTATATTCGCGAAAATGACGTCATGAATATGACGGACAGCGTCATTGTGATATGTACACAAAACAGATGCATAGAGTAGAAGATCAAAACATGACAATAAAACAAGAACAGTGCCATCTTATGATCGATTACGAAATAAATAGGTATAAATAAGCTAAGAACAGCGCCATCTAGGACTTGATTTATAATAGGAGTATCTTTATGACTAATCTGACATCTATCGTCACAGTGACGTCACATAATGGCGGGTCTTGTTTCAAATCACGTGACATACAGACAAAAAATCTCAACTTTGAATTTTAAGATAGTAAGATAATCGTGTGAATTTTAGACTCAAAATCAGATTCTCTATGTTTATTATGGTGTAAATTTTTGTTTTTCTGCAATTTCATAATTCATTTTCACTATAGAAACTACCCCATTTTGTAGAAAATACATAATTATATCATTCCGATAATTTGAAACATTTTACTTGCATACATAATATAAAATTTTGTTGACTTTTCAAATGTTTATAATTTAATGTGCGACAACATTATGTTGGTACTTCATACAGCGCGCCAGCGCAGATTTCATAACAAAATTTAGATGTATAAATATCACGATAGTACAATAAAAACTTTACGTTTAATAGGGATGATGACTTATTTTTGTTTATTTGTCCGTTGGATATAGATTATGAAAGAATATTAAACACGTACTTTTTTTTTATTGCGTATTCAATAAATTACGGCAATATATCATGACGTCACATCTCTATATTTTCTAAATAGTCCTGACGTAGCGAATCCACACTACTTAAATTTAATGCCATTTATCTAAGTCAGTTCTTGTTAAATTGAAGCAAAAAAATAATACACATTTTTTTTTTTTTATTATCTGATTGTTTTTTTTTTATCCAGTCATTATCCTCAGTGTTAACAACTCTTCAATCAAATGTTGTTTATGATTTTAGCTGTTGCTTTTAACCCTGTATTATTAACAGCCCTTACCTCAAACTTTTTTTCAAATGATTCCTTTTCTTCTAAAGCCTTGGACAGTTTTGCTTTGATCTCAGTGTGGTCAATGAAAGAAGTAACATCTACATTAGACGATGTGCCACTCTTTAATTCTTTTATAGCTTCCTGTTGGAAAGGAAATAGACGACATTATATTATATATTTTTCTTTTTCTAGAATAGGTAATTTTATTTTATTTTATATTATTAATTTTGATAAATTTTATTTTAATTCACAATGATTATCTGATAATATTCAGGTTATATAGTGTCGTGTAGTTGAAAAATTGTATATAGTGTAGATGAAAAATTTTCAAAGTTAATGGGAAGAGTAAATACATTTCCTCCTCCTGTTGTATATAGAAAAGAGGTCTAGATTTCAAATGTTATTAAGAAATACATTCAATTTTCGAAATTTTCGAACAATATAGAATTCGGAACTTCTACATTGTGCAATATATTTTTTTTTACATTTTATGGGATACCTATATCATTTAAAGTTATTACGATGTTTGCCTATATCATTTATATCTATCTCTTTGATCATTTCTCACCTTCAATGCAATTATTTCATGTTTTTGTAGTTCTATAGTGTTAGTGGCGTCCGTCAACTTCTGGGTGACCTCGTTGAGCCGTTTAGTTTGTTTTCTCGCTTCCTCCAAAGCAGTTTCAGCCGATACAAATTTCAATTGGTAGTTATCTCTGTCGCGACTCACCGAAATCAGTTCCTCTTCGAAAGCTTGAATCTTTCCTGTGATGAGAAAGTATATTTATGCATAACATTTTTTTTCAATATCACCAGTCTATTGACGTCCTACTGCTGGTGCACAGGCTTTATTTATGGCTCGTATTTATGGATGAAGAGTCATAACCAACAAGGACGCCTAGTGAAGACTTTTAATTTGATCAACGGTCATGCTTTCCGAAGCACTAAGGAATTACAGATCACTAATTTTTGTTCACCCATCTACTAGCCGCTTTTGCGAATATTGCTTAATATCCGCAACATATACCAAAGGCACTAATCATGGTGCTATGTTTCAAAATTCTTCAAAAATGATTTCACAGCCTTTAAACATGGTAGGATTATTCATTTTAATTTAACACATCTAAATTACGGTAATTTTTATATCACATAAAAAATCATATTGCGCCTATTTGGTTGGCAATATCATGCAACTGCTGGAATTTTAAAAGAAATTTTAAAAGAATGTATAAACACATAAAAGACACAAACACTCACCATTCAGTTCTGCAATTTGCTCTTCAGAATTAGCTCTTTCAGCCAAGAGCTCACTGAGTGTATTTTCAACCTCACTTAGAGTATTTTGCAGTTCACCAGCAGTGTTCTCAGAAACCCTAAGCAACTTTTCATTGTCATCCAAGGATTTCCTTAATCGTTCATTCTGAGCCTTCAGCTCATTGATTTCTTCTTTCAATGATTGCACCATGTCATCCATGCCAAAAGAACTTTCTTCTATGCCAGCGAGCTTAGTTTTAGTAGTTGTAAGCTCCTCTTTAAGGATCTCACACTCCTAAAGAGTTTAAAGAATCAATTATTTACTAAAACATTGTCATTTAAATGGTCCACTAAATGATTATGTTAAGCAAATATTTTATTGTCTACTTCACTTTTTAAAAAGACAAGAAACCTTATTCACATTGTGTGTACAGTCAGCTGCTCATCAGACTATATAAAACTTTCATGATCGTTTTCATAAGAAGGATAGTTTAATTTAATTAAATTCCCCCACTCGATTTTAAACCTTAATGCATTGATTGTAAAGGTCAAATTCCTTGCAGAAAAGAGGAAGAGAATTGACATATCAAAGTACACATGGCTGTCATGTGTACTTTGTGTATTTAATTATACTTACTGACTAAATAACACATTAAGGGTTATTTTTATATTTGCATGAGCACTTATACAGACATTATTTAACAATAGGTTTCTAACATGTAAAATTGATATGTTCTCCGATTAATTGCTAATTACTATTATACTTAAAGAATACATTACCTTACTAGTGAAAAGTAAGTCCCTCTGTAGAGTGTTTATAGTAGCAATAAGTTTTCCATCCTGTCTTTTATTGTCTATGTAGTAGTATCCTAGTGTGAATAGCAGAACTGAGATAGCGGTGGTTACAAGGAAGGTCAATAACCGGTTACTTTTCTCATTTGAAGTACCATCACAATAGTCCCCAGTGTAACAGACCTGTCCTGAAAATAAAGAAAATATAATAAGGTTAGATATTATGAATATCTATACATAGTATAAAGCAAAGTAATTTCCCGCTATCTGCCCACTGAGATATTTAAAATGTTTAACAGATAATAATGCAGTTTCCTACAATATATAGAGTGATTTAAGAAAAAGGTTTATATTATGTATAATACAAGACCATGAAAGTAAGGCCTCTGTCAAAAAGCTGGTTGACAATAAAACATAGATATTTCATTAGACAGACAATGCAGAAAAGAGTGAGTCATTATATAAACAAGGTTATTATTACTGTAAGTAAACAGATCTATTTCATTTTTGCTATTTAAATTAAGTAATAAAAGTATTATAATTGTTGTATAGAAAAATTTAGTTTATATATGTTTGCTTTTTAATTAGTATTATTACTAGATATTATTGAGACAAGCCCTAAATCAACTATAAAAATTGTAATAAAGAGAAACAACTGAATAGAGAGAAATACCACCACAATTTTTTATTTTGAATATAATCGAAATACAAACAGTGGATACAACAAAATCTTATTTGAAGTGGTGCCAATTATGTAATTAGTAAGAATTAAAACAGCGCTATCAGAAAATTAATTTTTTTCTTATCATATATCATCATTATAATTGATAAATATCTGGTACCAATCTCAAAAAAATGTTGATGTATCCACTTTTTGTGTTTCCATTATTTTTTAAATAAAAATTTGTGGTATTGTTTCTCTTTTTTCAGTTGTTTCTTTTTATTACGATTTTTTGAAGACAGTTTATTTCTTTTTGTATTTATTTATTTCTTCTTTTTTTTTAATAAAATAGAATTGTAGTTATCACCAATCCATATTATTTACTTATAACCTTTGTCTATGATTAAACATATTTATAGGTATTTACTGGATATACATTTCAAATTCAAATTATTTATTTTAATACTGACACACACACATTACATATAATTAACTGTAAAAAAAAGACAATACAAAGTTGAGTGTCTCATGACTGCACTAAAAAGGGTGACTAGTTCAGCATTAGTCAGCTAGGGCTGACGCTGATTTTCAACTATCACCCTTCTTCTGATCCACGGACTCCAAAACGGCTACCAAGAAATGTGATAACATGCATTACTACTGTGTCACAAAGAGCATCCTCAGTCACTGTCACAGTCTAAATTAGTTATTTCTTATCAATTTGTTCTGTGTTGTGTTCTGTGATGGTATGTTTTCATAACCTACTATTCTGGTAAGTCCTTTTGTAAGCCATTTAGTAAGTTTTCTCTTATTATTCTCTAAGTTGAAAAATAGTTGATCAAACAAAAAAGGTATCATTTCCAACAGATGTCAATTTATGAGAAATGCGTAGACAAATATATAGACACACATACATAATATAAGTACTCTTACAAATTTTTTTGAAGTTGGTTTAAAAGAAGGTCATCAATTTTAGCTATCAATTTATTAGTAGCTTAAATTTAAACTACTGCTAATTTTTCAACCAATATCATTTGATGAAACTAAGTTGAAAGCTAAGTAATTAAACAAAAAGAATCATTGCAACCTGACATCTAGTTTGTTAGACATCTGTGGACAAACATACATACTTATATATATGCATGCATCTATAAAAATTTGCAGACATGTTTAGAAGTCCATACTGACCAACTTATAGATTTTTTTTAGTTATTCCAATGAAATTACATATTATATAGAATTCTCCCTAATCTAAATTGATAACCTCCTTTTTTAAAGTTGATTAAATGCATTATTATGATAAAATTAAATATTTTAATTCTGTAATCAACAATAAAATTTATTACTTACAATAATATATTATTTTTAATAGAAACTGACCTTTTAATTCTTTTATGAACTGTATTGGTCATCAATAATTTTAAGTAAAGCAAAAGTATTTGAGTATAAACTTACCCCCAGAAGCAAAAATTGCTTTGGATTCTTCTGAAGGGCTGGTAAATGGAGCCATGATTAATTTAATAAAAGAGAAACCTTCATCAACTGATTCTTTTTCAATTACTGGACTGGAAGTACTATATTCTGTATTGAATAAGCTTTCTGTAGTTTGTTCTTCAGTGCTAGCAGACCAAAGGTCTGACATTGTTGAATATATATTTGAAAAGATACTTTCAGCTTTTTCTGTATTTTCTTCTTCAGGTGTTTCGACAGTTGATTCTGTCCTAGGTCCAGGGATGTCATTTAGAATAGATTCAACAGATTCACTATAGTCAATAGTGTTTGAAGCAGTTGTTTGCTCAGTGGGTTGTTCAGTAACAAAATAGTATGAGACCTCATCATTATTAGGACTTAAAATTGTATTTTGGTTAATTGCTTCATAAGAGCTTATTTCTTTTGGTGTTTCTAAAGGTGGAGCTTCTGTAGAATAGCGATATACTCGACTGCTGTCAGGTATAAAGTGAGGGGCTGGACTAGTATCATATGTTTCAGGTTTGCTAGTAGTGGTATCTAGATTTGATTCTGTTGATGACTGAATCTTATCATTAACTTCAGAGGTAACATTTGGTTCTTCTATTTTAATTGGTTGAGTTTCTTGACTGTTATTTTCTGATGTTTCATTAATTAATGTAAAATTATGGGAATTTTCTTTTTGAGCTGGTATAGTTTGTTCATTAGTTGTTTGTGGTGAAGGTTCTTGAGCAATTTGTGTATTTTCTTCATTGTTTTGAGTTTCATAGTTCATACCATTTATATTATCAACAATTTCTTCAGTATACTTGTTAAGTTTCCTTTCAGTCTTTTCAAGTTCAGTTTGTTGTAAGTTCATACTTGGTTGAGGCACATCATTAGTCTCAGCAGGTTTTTGAGGTAGTTGTGGAGTCTCATCATCTTTCATTATATTTGAAGATGTATTTTGTTCACTTTTTTCAGTAGTTTCAGATTCAGTTAATGTATTTTTTAAAAGATTTAGATCATCAGGTCCATCATTTAATTCCATTAAAATTGGAATTTCTTCATTGGTACTAGAAATGAGAGCCTGAGGCACAGGTAATTTTTCAGCTGCTTCAGAATTGGTTAACATGTTTACATTTTCCTCTACTACTTGATCAGGGATGTTATTCACAATATCTATAAGTGGACTTTCACTAGTACTTGAAACAATAGCCTGGGGTAGAAAAGACTTGGCAATTTCATTTTGAATGTTTTCAGTTTCATCTCCTTTAGATATTTGTTCAACTAAATCATTTTGTGTGAGTTGGTCACTAACAATATTTTCATTTTCATTCTTATTATTATCAATCTGTGGGCTATTTTCTTTATCCGAAGTAATTGTGGGTGTGTTATTAATCTTTTCAACATTCACAGAGCTATTAATAGTTTCACTGCTTATTGAGTTGTTAACATTGTCTTCAGAATTATCAAAAGCATCATTAGTAATTTCATTTTGTTCAATTTGTGAAATCAAAGTTTCTGGTGTAACATTTATTAAAGTTGGGGTTATATTATCATTGGATAGGTTTGGTGTTTCAGTGAAGCTTTCAGGTTGAGTTACATCTGTTGTTGCTTCAGTAGTAAAAATAGTTGTCCCGTCAATTACTTCATGTGGTTGTTGGACCTTGTTCGGCTGCACATTAGGTTGTAAATGACTAGGTTCTAAAGGAATAACAATTAATTCAGAACTCTTCTTAAGTATTTTGTGTTCTCTTAAAAATTTTGAGTTAACAAATCCAAATTTTCCATTAACATTAGCATACCAGATATCTGCATTAGAACCAGCCGATTTCATGTATACTAATGCGTCGGCTTTAGCAGGGAAGGATATAAAATCTGCATCACCACTATTGAAATTTAAAACCGTTTTCGCTTTGGATATAGGATCTGTAACAATAATCATATGTTAGAAAGTAATTGAAAGAAAAAAAATTGTCATCATCACAGTTACAAACCTGTACACTTATCATTAATACAAAAAACTTTGTCTGGTACACGACATTCGTACGGTGCTACAAATAATATAAATAAAAGAAATTTTAGCTTATTCATTTTCGCATTCTAATATTATAGTTTTCATAAAAATTCACAAAACGTTAGGCCACATCATCTGTCAAGTCGCTCGTTCGGTCGAATCGGTTTTCGGTTTTGACAGCAAGGAAAATGATACATTTCATGCAATTTATAATGTTTATATTTGATTTGTTTTCACGAACATAATTAAAATTTTGCAATTTAATCATGTAATTTCGTCTGTAATATATTAATAGCTAAGTAGGGCAATCTTTAACTAGGATATACGTAGTATCTCCTTACTAGTCTGTGCTAGGATAACAAATGAGAGTAGAGATGGTATTTGCTAAATTACATATAACGGAACGTACGTTTTCCGTTCTACGTGTAAATAAATAGAACTATAAAATGCTTTTTAAAGTTAAAATGAAAGTAGTTATTAATTGTGCATATATATATATTTTATTTATTTATAGTAAATTATACTTTATTAAACTTTTTAAGAAAATTATTATTTTTTGTTCTTTTTCGGTTCCATACCTCAAAAGGAAAAAAGTTTAGGAGCCATATGACAAATTTTCACTCTGTGAGATTAGGTATTTTGAAGCGTTCCGAGTTCTCGACAACTTGTTCAAGGTCACGAGTCCACAATATTGTGTTGAAACTACGTTCAAGCTATTTTGATACTTTTCCCAATTTTTGTTTTTATTTTAGTATTTCTATGGTGAGATTCATTATCGATTCCCGAATATTTTAACACGACTGCTCTCGAAAAGGAGTCTATTGTTTTTAGAATTAATCTATATATGTGAGTTTTTTATTGCACCATAACTTTTGAAAGATATAACGGATATGAATGTATAGGGTATCATTAGAAACATCATCCTAAGTTACCACAAAATACATAGAGTATCAGTGAAAGTAGCTTTATTTATTAATATTAAATAGATATGGGGACGTGTGACGCCATTTAAAAAAGTATGTTTTTTATAATCACAACTTTATGGGTATCAAATTAAAGGTCCATTAAAAATATATAATCTCTATACAAAATTAGCTGCTCACTAAAAGGAATAAAATATAAATAATTATTTAAAAATTAAAAACACGACTGCTAAGATCGGACAAAAATTAAAAGAAACAAGTTTAGCCAAATCATAGGCTATAAATATAAATAGCGATGACAATATATCAATAAAGTTGTAAATATATATTAAAAAATATTCGTGCCATATTTTTCGTTGACGATTTAGAAATAATTTCGTCATCCATAGGAAACATGGACTGCTTCCTGTTTGGAAAAGTAGTAAATTTGTGTTGTGTTGTTGTGCCCGCGACTTTATGCGAATGGAAAGTAACCTAAGGTTCTTTTCTCATGGCTAGATGCGATGTTATTCGATATCAATGAACGATATCACACGAATCGCATGCACTTATAAAATGTATGGAAAAACTCAAGTGTTTGCTCATGAGATTGTACTATCTGTCAATATCGGTCACAAATCTCATGGTCTGCGGTATCACTTCAAATGTATGAAGGCGGTAGAACGCTCGATCTGCTTTTGATTTTCTGTTCAATAATATAGAGGAACGATTCATTTGCTCAAACTTACCATATCATCATAATATATTGAATTTTACAAAAAAATACGGCAATATCCGTATATAAACAAAAGAAAAGCCCGATGGTGCCGGATACCTCGTTTGATCTGCGATTGAGGAGGTTAAGCGACGATTGCAAAGGCCGGCAATCGGATGGGTGGTGAATTTTTTTAGTGGAGCGATTTAGGACGACCTAGTAATCCGTACTGGGCGCGTGCCCAGTACGGATTACTTGGTAGATTAATCATTAATTGAAAATATATATGCTTAAGCATCACCAATCCGCACTGGCACCTTTAATTCTGGATGCATTTAAATCAACGATTAATAATATGTGTTTTACACTACTAATCCTAATTGGTGTGCTGAATGCTACGAGAAATGCTGGTTGGAATAATTTCATCTATTGAGAATATCTGTTCTTTAGCACCACCACACGTGGGTCCAGTCAGAAATGCTGGGTGGATTGACTTGATGCTGAAGTAGTTAACAAGTTTGATCTGCGATTGTAGAGGATAAGCGACGTTTGCAAAGGTCAGTAATCGGATGGGTGACGAAATTTTTTTACACGTTACTAAACAAGTATGCGTTAAAAAGAGAGTAAATATCGCAGAAGTTATCTCGCAGGTAAATTTTTAATAAAATCGAAGTCCTATCCACTAAGAAAACTCTTAGATATTTCTGAAAAGCTTAACGACCCACAAAGAAAGAATTATTGGAAGAAAAAAAAGACACCTCTCTTAATGTTAGCTTACGAATCTTACAAATCAGTTCCAATATCTCACAATAAAATGATCGTTGATATGTTTACCTTAGATACGTGGATTGGAGATGTGGATTTGTCAAAAGTTATTAATCTCGATGTCAATGGTGTAACTGTCAAGCGAATCATCAAACGTGATAAACTTAGAAATATATGTTCCCAATATATAAGCAAAAATTATAATGAATTTTATAAAATATATACAGATGGATCTTTAGACGAAAATGGCATAGGGGCGGCATTTTTTGACGAAATTACAAATGACTCCGTTAAACTTAAAATTGTAAACAAAATATCTATAATGCATGCTGAGTTGATTGCAATAGCAGAAGCGTTATCTTATAGTGAATCAATTAATTGCGATAAAATTGTAATATTCAGTGACTCAAAATCTGCACTCCAACACTTGGCTCGATGCACCTCGAACTTTCGAGGAGCACCGATAGCTTATTGTATTATAAAGATCATTCTAAAATTAACTGACAAGAGTAAAAGTATTGTGCTACAGTGGCTACCTGCCCACGTAGGAATAGATGGTAATAAAAAAGCAGACTCTCTCGCCAAAGAGGCCTCAACTGAGGGAATTCCAGTTTGTAGTAATCCATACTTACCAGACTATCTGTTTCTAGTAAAATCTGCTATGTATAATATATGGAAAGAGCACCTAAATGAAAGATCTGTGAGCAAAGGAATATGGTACAGGACCATTCAACCTAACCTCCCTCGAAAGTTATGGTTTGACGGTGCAGACATGACTAGGAACGATATTGTCAATATGTTAAGGTTACGTTCCAGACATATTCCTCTTAATGGATTTGCGTTTCTCATGGGTAAAACAATCTCGCCAGTTTGTTCAGACTGTAATAAAATTGAAGATGCAAGTCATATTATGATGGAGTGTGTCCGGAATGATAATGAAAGAAAACAGTTTTATAACCTTAGAAATATCAACGTTTTTGAAGTAGGTGTATGTAATAGTATGTAAGCATCTCCTCTTTCTGGAGATGCTAACATGCTACTAAAAATAGTGTCATCAGGCCTCAAACGAAGAATATAAAAATAACATGCATATATATAATGAGGGTGACATGGTTACTGCGTGACAAAACCCTCAAAGAAATAAAGAAAAAAAAAAAAAGAGTAAATACTCGCCATGCCCCGCTCCGCCCCACCACCACCCCTTCAGTTCAGCTAAATAAAAAAGATTGATCGGCCATCCCATTATTGACTTGTCTTTTATATACTACTCATCACTCAAGCCCTTTTATTTAATGTCCTTATTGAGGGAGTCGTGAGAAATATGTAGGTAATCCAACATTTTGATGGCGGCCATCTTGGATTTGAAATTTGTCATAGTGTTCAGTATTCTACTACTCAAGCCCTCTTATTTGATACCTATATTGATGGAATGGTGATAAAATATGTAATCCGACATTTTGTGGCGGCGGCCATCTTGGATCGATTTTCATCAAAGTGAAGAACACTCCCGACTAATACACCTTTCAAACAAAATCAAAATCGGTTCATCCGTTCGGGAACTATGATGCCACAAAAAGACACAAACACACCACACACACACACACACACACACAGACACACAGACATGTCAAACTTATAACACCGCGTCGTTTTTGCGTCGGGGATTAAAAATATATTGAATTTAGAAAAAGTTATTTGATATGCGGATCTCCGATAAATTTGATATCGATCGAATTGCATCGAGCCATAAGTCTAAGTTAATCTTCATTATGTAAGTCAACTTCTAGTGAAAGTCTCTTCAAAATCGGCCAAGCCGTTTCAGAGATTAGCCAGAACTAACAGACAGACAGATAAAATATATTATTTTTGTATATGTGCCATGTATACACACAAATGTATTTAGTGAAAAGCGGTTATTTTAATATTACAAATATGCACTCCAATTTTTATGTACTAGTATAAGTCTATTGAGAGAAGAAGTACCTTGCTTTATTTGCATTTCTTAATATAAATATATATTTTAACTTTCTTATACAAATATACCTAGGGGTCTTTCGACCTATGCTGAAAATAACAAATGTGTATTAGAAATAATTCAACAAGCTATATAAATTCCATATAAATCGAACTTCGTGACCAAAGTTGGAAGTCCCACTATACTGCTCTATTTACGCTCGCTCGAACGTATCTAGATCGAAAAATGGCGCGAAGTAATGCGACACAGATCTAACGTTGAGGAGCGCTCGCGCGGTACTGAGTTCAGACGGCCGCTGCATCTTATTTTGTAGTGATTTTGCGTTTACATTTATCGTATTTATTGAAATAATATAATAAATTTATGCTTTAAATTTATAATAACTTTGTTCTTTATAAAATAGTCATTAATCTGGCATAAATTTTGTTAAATAATATTGTTGTGGCTAAGAGAAATTCAAAGTTAACTTCAAGCAATTTTTGATGTTTTTTGGTTTGTAATATGATTGTTTTTCTATATTTAATCATTGCTATTTCAAAATTTCGAGCTACTGTTTACTTTACGACTATATAAGAGATATCATTCTATTTCTTTTATTTCGTTTGTTAAGAACAGTAGCTCAATCCAGGACTTCAAAAAAGTGTCTTTGCGCATTTTATGAAAATCTTTCTCTGGTATTTTGGGTTTAATTAAAAAGATGAGCAAAATTTCCAAAAAGTTAAGCCACTTTTTTCTATACTAAGAGTTATTCTTCACTATTCAACAAGTCAAAATTGTTAATTTGTTTTTGTTTCCGAGAAAAATCACGCAGAAATCACAGTTGAGATGTAATATGGCTCTTAATTATATTTATTGTTTGTCTGTCTGTCAAGATTCTCAATCAGAAAGTATTTAAAAAAATATTAGTTCCCGAAATCAAACTAGATGTCGTTACGGTACTTTCTTGATTTCTCCATGACAACCCTTCCGGTTTTCTTTCGTGTATAAAAGAAAAATTAATTTTCAAAACTCAATTAACAACTCATATTCTATTTGTACGTTTTCATATTATATTTGTACGTTTTCGATATCTAAGTTTCCAACTTTGCAAAAATAAGTTTTTTAATATGTTAGTTTAAAGGAACGGAAATGACTATCTTTAGTTCAATAGTTTCCTGCAAAAAGCAACTTTTGGAAGAGTCGTCATCTAGTGAGGTGCTTTATTAATGCTTTTTCTTCTTAAAATATTTCCTCATTTCGTGAACATGACACTGATGGGCGAATCCTATGCAAATTATGGACGGATACTTCAGAGCCAAAGAGTAAATTCATGGCGTTCTAATATTAAACACAAAAAAATATAAAAATCTGTTTTTTGTTAGCACAATATGTCCTTGAACGATCACATATCTTTAATTGATTTATCACAACAATTTCGTTTTGAAATAGGTAATTTAAATTTTTATTACGTAGTATTTTAAATGTTAAGTATTTTCGATAGTTTAAAGGACGGGATATACAATATTTACTAGGCCCCGTACTGCACTGCTCGAAACAGTTTCATCAGTAAAACAAAGGTGCTCGTAAACCTAACAGAGTCTGAGAAGGAAATGAATTTTCTGTACCAGTATTTCCGAATACTGGTATTAAATAAAGTTAGAAACTTTACCTCTTCATATCATTAGTAAGATTTTAAAATTCCACTTTCGCTTCCTTAGGCACGTTTAATTTTGATTGATTTCTGTTTGCCTTTAGCATGATAATCATTAATTAGCTCCACCTTAAAACTAATGATTTCCGTTTAAATTTAAAGCTCTGATGCTAAAGACTTCTAAGTAGTATTGCGCTTCTTAATTGTTATAATTACATTACCTTATAATTTATTTATTTACAACTTATTTTACTTATTTCAATTTATCTATTTTTTATGTCCACAGATGACCAGATAAAGAAAGAATTATGCTTTGGGGAAACTCTTGTAATAAGTTGCGGCCATTACGAAGGAGATATAGAGGTGGAAGAGTCATCTGACTCGGAATGGTCATGTCATGATACAACAGAAACTGAAATATCTGAAGAGGTAAAGCAGGACACTGCTATTGAAATCAAAGATAAAATTGATGATGAAGCAGTTGAGGATGAAACTGGTGAAGAAGAAGGCGATTTCCACTTTTTCTTTTTTTCAGACTGTAATAAAGTGTTACCACAAGATAGCAAAACAAGTGTTATTTTAGTTGATGGTGTACCTAAATTTAATCCAAGTGCAAAACCACCAGTTGCCTGCACTTGTGATAAAAACAAAAAGGGTGTATGTGATTGTAGTGTTAAATTACCATGTAAATGTGGCGCCAAAACAACAGCTGAATGTCTCTGTTCCAAACTAAACACTATTTGTATCTGTGATGAATCTAATCCTCAAACTGTATGTACTTGCAAGGGTAGCCAAATTTGTGTTTGTAATCCAGACGGTAAAATTAGGCCTAAATGTACTTGTGATAAGGTAGACAAACCTTGTGTATGTTATCCGGATAAATTTCCATCTCCTGTGTGTACATGTAAATATAAACCTAAATTTGGCTATGAAAATATGAAAGTTATAACAGAGATGGCACAAGAAGAACATATAGAATGTACTGAGTTAGAAGAGCATGAAGAAACCACAACAACTGACGCGGAAGAAGGACAGGAGCCATGTGAATGTCAAAAAGAGAGAAAGCCATTTTGTACTTGTCTTAAGGGACAAGAATGCATTTGCAATACTAATACTTGTATTTGTGGAGTACAGAAGACTTGTGTCTGTGAACCAGTAGGAGCTTTGGATCCTATCTGTAAAAGCGAAGACTCTAAATCCATATGCAGTTGTGATGTTCTTCGGGAATGTACATGCAATGCTGAAAGTGCTACTGATTGCAAATGTTTTCCAGAAAAAGTTTGCAACTGTGGCGATCCAGAAAATTGTAAATGTTTTACGATTTGTGAGTGTACCGAACCATGTATCTGCGATACAAATTTAAAAGATGCTGAGTGCATATGTTTAGATAAAGCGAAACAACTAGCAAAAGGTTTAGTATGTACGTGTCCTGTCCACGGGCAAGAGAAAGATCCCATGAAATTAACAAAAGTAAGAGCTGGAAAACACGATTACAGGTGGTGTCACCAAGTTGACCCCCGTCATACTTACTTTGATTATGGTTATGATAGACATGATAAAATATCATATAAAATACAAGAGCGTGAAAAATTAAAAATTTTGGGTCTTGCTGATAAAGAAGAATTAGAGTCATGTCCAGTCCATGGCATAGAAGCTCCCCTGTACAAGAAGAAAGTTCGGAAACCTTCTATTGACTGTTGTAGCTCAGTTGGAGGTATTTAATTAATTCAATACAATATCTTAGCATAGTATGGACAGGGTCCGTTCTAAGCGGGTAAGTCAAACAATTGCCTAAAGTGGCAATATTTGAGGGTACCCGGCGGTTGAACGGAGTTCTCAACTTTCTCTCTAGGGAGAAATAAATTATAAAAATTACCACTTTTATATATTTATTCAGATTTTCAGAAAGTCCAGTACAATGTCTAAATTATTAATTCTAATAATAGTACATTATTTCTTACTATCGCATCTTTAGTATAAAAACTTGTCACTTATGTGGTGATTGTTGTTGAAGTAAAGATCTGCGAATTTCATTTAATATTGTTTTTGGAAGCTATATTAAAAAACAAATGTATAATATTTTTTAGTAAAATCTTTTTTTTTTCATCTACACAAGCTTCAAACGGACGGTAGCAATTATGATTAAAATTCTTCTTGATTGTTAATTACGTTTTTATTTAAATACAGGCATTAGTATCAGTGTTGAGACTTTGGGTGAGGATAAGGACAAGTTTCTCGTGCAGGTGGTATCTCATGCGTCAAAAGAAGGTGCAAAAACAGGGTCAAAACTTGTGAGCATTTTGGATTGCCATTTACATACTATGGAGGAAAACAGAACAGAGTACGATCTTGACTAATTAACTAATTTAAGTGAATGATATGTTATAATAATGTACCTAAATAATACTTGCTATTTTTTTAAGGTACATTACTAAGAAAGAGATTATGAAAGAAAGGCGAAGCTATATGACTATCTGTGAAAATGGCTATTATAATAAAGTTACGCGTGTCTGCGGCGGGCGAGATACTATAAAACGATTTTACCACTCTTTTGAAGATTCTCACAATTTTCTTCTTGAAGGTGCTAATATTGTGCTCCTAAGATATTTCGGCCTCAGTCGCTATAGGGGTACGGTTAAGACGGACTGTGTTTTAATGGATGGTACTATTTGCGAAAGCATTTATGTAAGTGGCGAAATACATATTTCAAATTTATACTTTATGTTCATGGAATTAATGTATTGCACTTTGGGTGAAAATGTACTGAGAATAGTGGAATAGATACAAGCTAATATTATCTACCCTTAATTTTTAGGTATGCCTCGGAGTAAGTCAAGCAATCGTTAATGGGAAACCACTCTTTGTGGTGAAAGTGGAGCGACATATCATAGAGCCTTCTGGTCTTATTCATCAGACTTTAACAGTTTTAAGTCTACGAGGTATTGCTCGTTTATAATGAAAATATTACCATTCAGACTAGTACAAGTTAGCATAAGTTGCTTGTTACGGCCGGTTACTGGATTTCAATACATTGTCTGATACTGCTTTAGTCTAGCTACAATGGAGCTACTTAAATACTTCAATGGGAATTAAGGATTAAAAGTTAACATATTTATATGTGGAAAATGCTAATCTTTGGATTACTTTCGAGTTTTGTAGCAGTTATTTGTGTTCAAAAGTTGCATAACCAGCAGCGTCTAGACCTCTATAATTAACAGGAGTTTACAAACCTCTAGAGGTTTACAAGAGTTTCTTTGACTACGACGGGATTGTTGTTACCAGCAAAATTAATAAATATTGAAACCGTACTCTATGGTAATGTTGTAAAGAAGAAAGTTTTGATTATTGGTTCGTTTGCATCGTATAGGCTCCGAAACTACAGGACCGATTTTAAAAATTCATTTATCTATGGAAACTTTATAGGCATGACGAGAGTGACATAGGCTAGAATTTACGCAGGCGAAGTTGTGGGAAAATATTAGTATAATTATGAAAATAGACCTATGTCACTCGCGTATGATGTAGTTTCTCGTAGGTGAAAGAATTTTTAAAATCAGTCCAGATTTTCAGAGTATAGATTTGCTATTTGTTGAAATTAAAATATTCAGTATAATTACCATAAAGGCTATACAGTAAGTCATGAATGGGCTGACAACGCGTACATGTTGCATATAAATCCACTTCTACGTGTGGTTCCTGAGAAAGACGAGATAGAACCACACGCTCCACTTAGAGAAAATTGGCGCGAAGACCTCCAACTACTCTCAGATTATCTGGACTTCAAGGTATTTCTTACTTTAAAAATCCTTGCCCTTATAGTGCCAATGATATTATCAATATTAATACAATCAGAAATTCGTGAACATGAAATTTTTTATTGACTACTTTGACCAAACGATCACAAGATTTTGTGTCAATAAATAAGTTTCTACCTTCTCATATAGTGTAGAATTTCTTTTCATAAATCCCTCTTGCGGCACTTACTCTGATAAGTTATTGCTATATATAAGAACTTAAAAATCTTTTTAACAGACAACGATCAGATTTGAAGAAAATGTTTCTGACCAATATCCTGGCAAATATCCTGGAAAAAATAATCTCTCGAAAGTCGTCGGAAGTGATTCTGTGTTAATGTGCTGTCATTTTTTTTTATATTAGACAACATTGCTCAGATTCCAAAATGAGTAGATAAAATCCCCGTATTATGGAGTACCTGTCCTAGACTCCAAATTGAACCTGGAACCTCGAACATGGCAACGCTTTGATTCTAGAAAGTTCTTACTTCTTTAAGATTGTTTTCAGTAACCCAAAGTGTCAAACCCTATAGTGTGTGTGATGTGTTCAGTTTATTGTATTATTTAAAACATTATTAGCCTTTTGCACCTCTTTAGCATATTGTATTTATCTTATTGTAGCATATTACTGCATAATTGTTGTAAAAAGAGGTCCATAATTTTTGCTTTACGTATTTACTAATATTTTTATAGATAATAATTTTAATACACGAAGCATTGGAAAATGCGACTTATCTCCAGGATTATGGTAGATATTGACACCTATAATTATATTATTAGCAATTTGATTACTTGGCCTCACTAAATTACAACGTGTAATAGCTATCAGTTGACCAATACATAAGTAGCTTGCAATGTCGAGAACTGGAGTGGGGCATTAATTATTGTCCTAGTCATACTAAATCCCTTTGGCTTAGTACACTTGGCAATATTGAATAACCAAATGGACAATCTGACTTAATGAGGAAGTTACTGAATTTGGTGTTGATAATATAAGAAGCTTTGCACTTATTAAAAGGCCTCATTTACATGGTCTATAAAATAACAATTAAGTCTTGGTATAAGGAAAAATAGAGTAAATTTATAGGTTTCCATATTATTTAAAAAGTTCTATATTATCGAATATTATTTGTATAATACAGAGTTCTTCAGAATTGGAAGGCTAGGCTTTCCGCTATTATGATGATGAGTTTTGTTAGGGCTACCATCTTAAATTCTTAAGTCAGTTCGTAAGCATATGAATAAGGAAGAGTGGTATTGTCTTTCTAGAGTACAAGAACATCAGAAGGGGCACGATACATGGAGGAGAGTGGTATTCTGACGGGTACTATTCGTGATTATCTCCAAGCTTTGCTTCTGCTTAGACCAGTTGACGCTTTGCATTTCACCAGGCACTACTTCGGATCGGTGCTATCTTCTTTAGAATTACCACACGATGAGTATTTCGATCCAACCAGTAAACACGTGAGATATTATTTTTTCGAACAATAACTTGGCAGAAGATTTATACTTTTATATATCACCGATGTAGTAAATACACACGTAGGATGAACTGAACTGTAAGCACAATTAAATTTTTAATTACTTACACGCGGCTGCACGTCAAGTTTTCGCTATTTGTTTTGTATATAACTCTTATGAGTTAAAGTTTAAAATCAAGTGTAGAATCATTTTTATTTTTAAAAAGACCATCAACTAATACAAGTGCATATCGATTATATAGACAATATTTGCCTCCTGTTGATTGTATTTTGCTATCTGTTTAAAGTTCTTGTTATAGATCTATACTTTCTATATATATAAGAGGGGAATAAGTTCCCTTTTAATTTCTATTTCCTTCATTTTACCTACAAAATATTGTTACATACTGCAAACTAATTATATTTATCCGCATAAACAGTCGAGCAATATCTATGATAATTTACTATCCTGATATAAAACAACGAGCATGTTTAAATCCCAGTTTCTTGGAAGTATTTCTATATCTACCTCGCGTTTTTTTCTATCTTTTGATTACTGTATTATCCTATGTGAATGTCTATACCTATTGATTAATTTGTAATCGGTTGATATTAATGAATATTTGTTCTTTTATATTCTTTTACAATTAAATAAATTCGATTTTATAAATTGTATTATTTTTTTTCCATATATAAAAGCCAATGACTTCCTAACAGAGTCATAATAAAAGCGAAATAATACCAATGTATTCTAAAAAGGTTTTATTTCAATAACTTATCTCATTTGTAGTTGTTTCACGGTTATTTTTCTCCTCCAAGAGATCTATTGAAGATCTATTGGTAGCAACAGGCTGTTTTATTATTGTTAGGTACATAAAAGTTTTGATGTGGAATATAAATCGATCAGATTACGAAATGATACAGAAAACCTTAGTTAATACAGCCTCTTATTCAACAGTACTTGTTTTGTTTCAATATAAGATGCCTCTTCTTTTGGATAATTAACTCAATATTAAAGATTCATATTTTTATTATCTTTGTGAGAACGAGCTTAATCTAAACATGTCTACGTATCAGGGTCGGTCGGTGCATATCTGACCGTAGCAGTAGGTTAATTGTTGTGTGTATCTGACGGAAATTTCGTCAAACGTCTCATGGAAGTATGGAGCCGTCCATTAATCACGTGATGTTTTTTCAACACTTTTTAATCCCCCCCTCACCTTGGAGATACATGGTAAAGTTTAAGACCACCCCTCCCCCTCCACCCAAATCACGTGTATTATTTTTGAATATTAATTTTTGACGTCGCTTTTCGGTTCAGTAATCGCGCGTCCGAGGAAAAAGTAAATACACGTGATATATTACTACACCGCTCCGTTGTGATATTTTGTGATTTTTGACGAACCTACTCCCCCCTTTCGTGCCTCGTGTGATTAATGGACGGCTCCTATGCTTTATTACTTGACCGAATTTCCGACAAGTGTGCAAGGTCGAATATCATATCATAATTATATTTTGACAGTTTCGAGGACCAACGGATAAGACACGATGCATTTTCCGTAACATATGCACTAATGCATAAGTACACTTGAGTAGCCCAAACACACTACTGGTAATCTTCAAAGACATTAAATAGAGTCTACAACACTTCTGAGGGAATTGAGATAGCGGGTCTAAAGTTCTCCCTTTTGCTCGCCGAATTTTCAACTGGTGACGAATTGCAGAGTCAACCCGTTATTGAATAGATGAAGAAGGGGTCTATTCTCTGTCTTATACTTTCACATTATACCAATTCCATTTACACAAAACATTACCTACGTTTAAATTTCTTAATGACTCAATGATATTTCGTTAAAGGCAAACTTTAAGGCAAAATATTTCTAGTATAATAATTTATTTTCTGACACGAATATTTTCGGAAATGAAATAAATACAGAGCTTTATCGAAGATACTTTTCGAAATTTAACTCAAAGCAAAGAACGCCAACAATGATGAAACAAAAAAACTGTCGGTAGGTAATAGAAATCCCTTTTAGGTAAGTTTGCAGAACTTTCAAAGAATGTATTAAAGAATACAGCGAAGCAAATTCCAAGTACAAAATTAAAATATCACGAGAATTATCGTATATGTGTATGAGACTGACATAAAATGTAGGTCGGAACAAGAAAAGAATTTTAATTTTTGTTTTCTATTCACAAAAGAAATTATTAAAAGCTTGACGTGGCATGCGTTATTATGAGAAGAACCACCCCAATTGCGCCTCGCCTACCTTCGAGAGTAGAATTCTGATAAAAGAGCACCGTTTCCTTTTCAATTACTTTCAATATGACGATGCTGCTTGCTTACGTATGCGTAATGTGACACGAGGCACATTTTTCCAATTTCATTCTTATTGAGTACCCTCCTTTATGCGTCGCTCTCGTTATTAATAACCTACACGTGAATAATACAATAATATAACTAAAACAATAAAGTACGCATTTATTTCATATACCGATTTCAAAGAGGTACGAAAACCTCAGACTTGTGTTTATATGCACCGAATACAGACCTCTTATCTGTATTTTGCATGTGTATGTCTGTCCGCGATCAGCTAGTATTTGGTTGAACCGATTTTGATGCGGTTATCAGTCTTTGCTACATTTAGGAGAAGTTTTAGTATACACTAAAATGGAGGTTCTCAGGATCACTAAATGAATGATTATTTTTCATAATAGAACCGACTTCAAAAACTTGATAAATAATGCTTATCTTAAAGTAGTTCAATAATTCAAGATACTTCTATTGAAGTCGCGGTTATCATTTAATAACCTACAGAAAGAAATGGAAATAGTGAGTTTAAAGAAATGAAAATTGGAAGTTGAGAAATGTTTAAATAAATCTCAATTAGATAAGGACAGAAAATACGCATTTGTGACGTCATAAACTAGTTAAACTTTCGTTCTTATGTTTTTAATATATTCCAGTATAAGTTTCTAAACATTTCAAAAGTTACAAAATCTTGTGCCAGCGTTGTAGGTTATTCAAGGTGAAAAGTTAATCGGCTTTTCTCGACTATCTCGGTGTTTATCGACTGGGCTATATTGTAGGTTGGCTGGAACGCTAAAACCGAAATGCCTGCTGACTGTTTAAGCAGGCGATTGAGTTTTGATGTTCACACAGCGATACTGGTTGCGAATCTTGCAAGCAGTATTAAACCTTAAACAGTTTTTAAGGTTTAATAACGTGGGAAGTGGGAATTGATTTTAAGCGGGAAATGTTCCGTACAAATATTTTATTTTAAAACCTATAGATTTTTATAGGATTCCTGTAAAGTATGTTTATTTATGTTAGAAAGTAACTGATACTCTATTTTTTTGAGTTGGTTTAATTAGTTTTAGCTCAGTAGTTTTTTTGAAAGAAATTTAAGTAAATCAGTAAAGAAGGTGGTAGATATTATACAAAAGTTTATTATTTGACGCCCTCCGTAGCAGAATGGTTTGCATGCCAGTTTCGCCGGTGTTGCCAGCTCTCAGGTTCCGGATTCGATTTCCGGTCGAGCCAATGTAGAAAATGAACTTTTCTATACTGTCTCGGGTTTGGGTATTGTGGTACCTTTGTTGTATCAGATACTTCATAAAACAAGGACTTTAGCTACTAAATTAGAATCTGAGCAAAGTATGTGATGTGGTTATATATTGATTTATTTACTTTTCCTTATTAGCCCTCCACAAGTGGGAGGCCTCTTGTGAAGTGCTTAATATTCATTTAATTACGTAACGTCCTTTTTGGGTAACCGACTTTACATAATGCACCAAATAAATTTCAACTCAATAGATTAGGATAGTGGACAGACAAATGCAGGAGATATATCCTATAAGGTAGTGGATTTAACCTTTTCATTACAGTACCCGTATAACCTATTACTAATTTTACTCCATAACGATGGTTGTTATAATTTTGTATTCACTAGTTATTATGTGAGATTTAGTTTCTCTTAAAGCACGTCATTATTTATGTTCCATATTGAGCCAGTTTCATTGTTTTTCTATTAATTGTGAACTTATTATCAGGTTCTTTTTTACTCCCACAGAATAGCTGGTATGTACCTCTATGTTAGTGACAGTGGCGTAGCGTGTCTTGGCGGGGCCCCGTATAAAATTTGTGTGGGGGCCCTTATGTTTTTATTAATTTTTTCTTACGCACGTTGGGGGCCCCGTATAATTAATACGGCATATACGGCGGTAGCTACGCCTCTGGTTAGGTTGAGGCACGAATCCCTAACGAATTCTGAAACAGCAAGTCTCCAGTCTACCATGTAAATACTCCGTGATATCGGGCTATAGTTACTCATCTTGCAATTCGATGAATGTATGTGATATTTATTTAATTAATCATCGTTCAAGACAGAATTGAACAGTGAGTATATTTTGATTTAATCCGACTACATTGAAATTTTTAATCAATGAAAGTTAAGTGTAGATGTAGTACACATAGTTGGTAGAACGTAGCAACTCTATTGACGGATCGTACAAGGGTTCAGTATAATTCTATTAGATAAATGTCTACCTGTGGTGCCTCGGGTCACACACGTAATTCATTCGTACCCCCATTTCCCACACATTTTGTAATTTCAGACTTGCCAATTTGTATGCAAGGGTTGGCCGAGGGCCTAGTCTTTGTTTGTAAACTGTATTGGACTGCGCGGACCCATCCTAACTAGTTAATTTAAACTTCTAACGCTTATCCGACTTAGCTTGATGGAGCTTAATAATAATATTTAAATGAAATTTGCGTTTCTACGTCGTCGTTGTAACTAGCATCCTCTTGCAGCGTTCAGTATGATGTTATTTAGTAATTTCTGTTTGATAATTTTTGTGCTGTGTAAATAGTTGATTTAGCTGTGACTCTAGACATCTTAGCGAATATTATGACGATATTTTGATCCAAAAAAACTTAATAGGTGACGTAGTAATGTTGTGGTCAAATCATTTAGGAGTCATACAGCCTTCGCAGAACGTTAATATAACAGTCAATCAGCTTATTTATAT